CAGAAGCAACAACCCTCGGAGCTTGGTCGTCTTCAAGGTTGAGTTGGTATTTTGCAGTGAGAGGATGCATTGGCAGTCCAAATTCTTCCGAGATGGCAACAGACAATACGCGATCACTCCCCACAAAGTGGACTGTGACTCACCCCTGTGCCCAATTTCTAAAAAAACGTCTCTCGAGCCACCAACGAACCAAGAAAGGTGTGCAAGGTTCCTACGTAAAATGAATCGTGGCGTGGACTTGAAGAGTTGACTGGAAACAGATAATGGCTAACCGGGTCTATCCCTGCCCCATAGTGACCAAGGTTTTCAAGATGTCTCCATCCACACTTGTGTCGCGCCAGTTAATCTGGTTATCCTCCTTATCAGTTCCATCAAAGAAAGAAGGTTGGACGCTCGAGGTGTCAACACTTCTCCTTCTTAAGCTCCGCTAATATATCCTTCGTCAGGTGGTGGTGTAGATAACCTCTACTGCCTCCCACCCTCCATTACACATATAGTGTAGGTGCACAGTACTCTATGTCTAGTTCCCGTGTCCCTAGAGCAATGTGACTCTATAGTTCATTCGGAAACACGTGCTCTCGTCTTCTCGCGATCTCGGTAGGACAACAAGCTTCATCTCAAATATAAGTCATGTCAGACATGTTTGTCTATTAATAGAACTCCGCAGTTGGTACATTGAGGAGCTGTGGAAAATGGACTCGAGTATTTGATCGAGCTCGATCGCTACGCAGTCCAGGCCCCTTATACACCTACCATACACCAAAAGTACACACACATTGGTAAATAAATCAATTAGGACACTATCCCTCATCACTCTAGATGTAGCAGTTAATATCCTGTTCAAACATTTTGTCCATAGACACACTTTGGTACATTTATGGATGTGTGTGGTCTGACCCATTGCCCCCAGCACCAGACTCAGAACTCAGCATCTATATATACGGGTAACTATATTTATTAATTACTTTGTCTCCTGTATTGGTCCTGTATCCTCACTGCTCTCCGAATCCCACTCAAAAGTGATCATAACCAGTGCCTCTTTATCTAATAAAAGTGATCCAAAGCATATGACGTGCTACGACTCATGTCCAATTTACAGAGGATAAGTGTCAGAGCAAGCATGGACTCGACGCAGTAATGAATCCATTACAATGTCTACGTACATGTTAACCATTGTACAGTCTTGCAAACTTGCTTCACCAACCATTTTGGTTGATTGATTAGGTAAAATAAATGTGTAATATGGAAATATGTAAGGCACTTAACTGTAGCCTGGCTTTCTCTCCGCACTCGCACCAAACACGACGACCTTTACAATACCACTATTCAAATTCACTCTCACATTCACAACTGGTGGGAGGTATCCGCAATCTCCTGGCGATTTGTAGCCATGCGGACTGACCCTGAGGGTGCTTGAGCGATATAGAACCGCACAATTAACGCAGATCTGCCACCGATTCTCGCGTCTCGACCTCGATTCTGGCGAAGCACAGTAGGCAGGTAAGATGTAAGGGGTGTATACAATAGTCGCCTCTGCCACCACAATGCCCCACACTCATACCACCAGAGTCGTGTGGAGCCTGGGAGGTCTGAGTGATACACTTTGTCAACCGTGGGGTTACAGATGAAGTGGATTCCAACCACAACTCTGGAGGCCACCCTGGCGCTCGCCGCAACTTATGCATACCAAGTGATAACACCTCTCCATCAGTCTGGACTTCTCCTATCGGGATTAACAACAGGACGACGGTATGACAGAATCGCTTTTCGCGCACCATGTATTACCTAGCCGTATAGTGGCAACAGCTTATGCACCTATGAGCAAGGCGTGATGACTGTCTACTGTAGCGTGCCTAGGTTCGCACAATGTCTGTGCTAAGATTGTGAGGAGGTAGTAGCCGAAGATGTACTTCACGAGCGTCATTATATAGCCTAGAGACCTGACCCTTCATTCTCTAAGCGCATCGTTTGCTGCGCGGCTTTGAGCGATATAAAACAAGACACTCCAGAAAGAAGGCTTAAAGTGCGAGGATGCTAGCGTATTAGCTACGCTCTGCTAAGCATCTCCTTGGAGCAATGAACATATCCTCTCGCCCGGATCCACATGAGGTTTCTGGCCTATGACGAGATGCTTTTTTTTCTCTTTGCTCTGGATTATTCCAGACTCTGTAGACTCGTGGTGTCTTGCGGACTGTCTCCCACTCATAACATCAATCAGGACATGAGGCTGTCGAAAAAATGAAATAGGTGTTGGTGTAGTCGAACCAATGCTACCGCATAATGCCGACACTGCTCATAGAAACTGCCTCTGTCTGAGACCAGAGTGAGGATTCTGTAGTCTGAGTAATCATTAGATTCCTGTCTTACCAACTGTCGCATTGATTTAAAATTGGCATTTTAATATTTGTCCAAGTTGTTAGACCATAGGCTTGCATTCACTGGATGGTGAGCTCGCCGTTTAGTGTCATCCGCGAGACAGAGAAGAGGTACTGAACATTGAGGTCACCTGGAGCTAGCTAAGCGAAAGCCAGACATTTGCTTTTTCGGACACTTACATTTATCACATCCAGCCGTAGGAGTGCACACCTATCGCGTAGACTAGACAGCAACCTGCTCGTGGGGCGCGGAGAATTTGTGGTCTCCATCCCTGGATTGGAATCAACACCGGGGGAGATGCTCCTTGTTTTGAGAGAGACTGAATGTGTGTCATGAACCTCCATGAGACATTGGCACGAGCAGTCTGACAACCACATATGAGCGCGTGCAATCATGAGACTTAGTGATCGATCCATCCCCTATCAGTGACACTACTTAAAAAGAAGACACAAATAGTCAACAAGCAGGGATGCTTAGTGTGGCAAATAGCGCTACCTCCCACTCGCCTCCTGTGATATGGTGTGTTGTGAAAGCGTTGATCACAGAGTATCATGCGCCTACATGTGCGTTGAGTACAGCAGTGAACCTTCTTGGCTCTAAGGAGGCTGGAATGTTGCCTACCTTCTTTTGAAAAAGAGTACAAAGAGAAGCCCCCAATAGGGATCAATAGTTCAATAGTTCAAACGAGACTAAAGTGAATTTTTGGTCTTATAAAAACCTAAACCTAGATATGCTGTGCCAACCTCATTTTCAGGCCTGCCTTCTGTGTCTCCCCTCAGATCTCCACCCTGCAGCGCCAGGGCCGGACTCTGTTTTCCACTGTGCCAGAGACTGCAGAGAAAGAAGCTCACTCACTGTTTGTCCAAGAGGTAAAACTAATACATATCTGGATGCAAGCCTGCTTTGTCCGTTATTTATCACTCAACCGCACCACCATGATTTCACCTTTCAGCCAAAAGTAGGCATCCAGATTGTGTATCTGGATCTCACTCTTTGAAGACTCATCAAAGGGGGCTTGTATTTTCAGATACAAATCCATGCAGGGACATACTCTGATTTGTTTGTGGCAGGTTGGCAACTCAAGGAAAGTCTTGAGTCGCGTAATAGGCTATCTTGAGATCTCACTCTTTGAAGAGCTCCATCAAGGAGGCGAGGGCCTATTAGTAATGTGTCTATACTCAACAATCTAAAGTTGACTTGCTATAGGAGACTTGGTACATAACACTTCTGAATTCAATGTTTTCAGGAATGCTCGGTCATGGACATTGCGTCTAAGGCAAAGCGTGAAGAGAGAGGGTGCTTGTGACTGTAGCTAGTTAATCCGCGTCTACCAAATCCTAAATGCTCGTAAATAGCCTCAACCCATCATACCATAGCACTGTATATTATGTCTACGACCACTAGAAAAACAAAAGTCATATACTAATTGCTGGTGCCTTGAATCATGATTGGTTGTTTGTCTGCGTCCCTTCTATGTAACTAAGAAGATCATGCCAATTTTTCCACTCGAGATCTCATTTCACCACGCCCCACTTCTATGAAAATCGATGCTGTATGAGACTTAAAATATCAAGTGGTGCACTCAAGCCAGCCTTGTATGAGCACAACTAGGATGTGGCTCTAGTCTGCACCCACTTTATTAGAATGTCATTGTGCGAGCTATAGACAAAGTCTTTCAGGCTCCAAGTAGCTCAAGATATTATCCATGAAGACTGCATGTGGTGTTTGGCAGCTGAAGCTTCTGGATAGTGCGAGGCGTTAGGACCCAGTCTTCGAAGAGAGGCTTAGGGATCAAGGATCGAATGGTGATCTCCCTCACCCCTCAATCACTCAGCCCTTTGCAGCAGCACGCTCGAAGAGGAGCTAACAATGGACCTGACCCAAAATCTAGAATAATGGCTCAAAAATACTTGAAGCAAGCCCTGTTATCATGCTTTACGTACACGGCGAAGATGTTTTGCGTGTCTCTCTCAATATGGTCACTGGCCCAGTGACTTGTTCTGCCATTAAGTGAGCGCCCTGTTTTTCCCCTGCGAGCTGAATGTCACAGGGGGGAACCTGGAGACGAGTGGAACAAAACTTGGGAGCAAATGACACACCAACTTTAGGTGTCTGAACCCCATCCCCAAGAAACCACCCTCGCCCCAAACCAACATTAGAGGAAACCTCCCCATCAGGAACACCAGTTGCCTCTGAACCAGATGCTGCTCCATAATGATGAATAAAGCACAATCCAAGAAACAAATTCCAAATAGTGCAACTGTACAAAAGCAAACACAGTATTCTTAACTAACACTTAATGTTATTCAGGATGAGAATTGAGCAGATTAAATGTCCAAGCTCATTCAAAAAGTCCCGCACAAGTTAGGAAAAGCAACCAACTTGGAACGAGGGCAATTGCGAAGAGCTCCCCACGGTGATCGAGATGACGTCGATGCTTGATGAATCCAAAGGGTCACGGCACCAATGTAACCCGTTCAAGTGTTACGCCTGCTGTTCTGCGTTGTGTTCTGGTGTTGAAGCAAGAGGCAGGAGACAGTGCTGAATCTTTGGCTCTTTACTGCTACATCTGCAACACAGAAATACGTGTTCGATCCGTGTGTGTCACGTGACTGACAGTACACCTCTCCTCCGGCCATGCTGAAAGGAGCTGTGACCGGGGCACACATGCACGCGCCTACGTCATCACGCAGCGCACACCCACACAGACTCAGATCACACAGGTAGGAGAGTGAGATGCCAAAATGACATATTTAATCCAAAAAAATGTGTTTTGGGTGAAATTCACAAGTATTTAACACATATGTTACACTATCAATGCATTGTTTTTGGATTTCAAACATTGCTGCCATTGCTTCATATACATTCTTCTTCATCTCATCATTTCTCGCTTCAGACTGTATGTTCTTCAGTCTGTAGTAGAATTGATTCATCATGTTGCCCTTGAAGATAAATGTAAGAATGAGATAAGTATATTCTATGATTTCCTTCTCGTGACATTTAACATATTCAGCCAGTTCATCCCCGAGGTTATTAACGAAGCTCTTTCCTGTTTTTTTCAACAACTCTCCCATTTCCCGAGGAGCTTTCTCATATTTTGAGTAGGCTTCTATAAAGCTTTTTTCATGTCTTTTCCTTTCATCCTGATCCCAGCAGTGTTTTGTATTCAGTCCAGGCAGTCCTAATTTTCATCTCTGGCTTAGAATAAGTTGCAGCTGCCCAGATGTTCCACTTTAGTTCCCGATGATGCTTCTCAAGCTTAAGATCGATTTTTTCAAATTCTTCCTTGATATCTTTCAGTAATGATTTGTCATGAACATGTTAACATGTTCGTCTTAACATGTTTGTCATTAGTAAGGAAAATACAGCACCTACCACTGGCACAACACTAGCCACAGACGCAGCAGATTTAAGAATATCATGACTAGTGTCTTTTACCGCATTCCCAATGCCTGTGATTAATGTTAGACAAAGTACACCAATATTTTTGAGGTTCTCCTTATTTTTTAGTGCACTTTTAAGTTTTTCTTTGCCTTGTTTTAGTTTCTCCAGAAGGGGTTTCTTGTGTTTGCTTTGGTCAGCAGATGGAGACGTGGTCACACTGGAGATGATGAAAAAGGATGACATCATCAGCAGGAGCAGGGGACCAACAGATGCCATGTCTGAAAATACACAAGACCAAAACATCATACTTTTTAAATGTAGTCTTTTTTTTTTTAAACTCAATTTTTATTATAATTTACAACATTGCAACTTGTACTTGTCAATGTTCACAAGTAGGACAGTTACAGGAACCGCAATGCAGAAATGTAAAATAAGAACTGCAATTAAGAAGCACAAAACAAAACTGGAAAGCAAAACAAAACCCAAACAAACAGACAGACAACAGCAAAAACAAAAAGAAAAGAAAAACAAAAACTTTATGTAATATTAAATAACATGTGACAAATCTAGCCATAAATGAACAAAACGAAACAGACCTATGCTAAATTATTGAAACAGTAAAGCATGTACGGGTCGCCAACGCTCAGTAAACAACTCTCTTTGGATCCGCAGAGCGTATGTTATTTCCTCCATCTGGTAAATTTCTCTTACTATATCAAGCCACATATAATATGAAGGTGGGTCAAGATTCAGCCATTTAATAGTAATACACTTTAGTGCTGCTGTAAGCAAGATTCTTAAGAGATACTTTTTATCATTTCCCGCAAAACCATTAGGTAATACTCCTAAAATGGCTAGCTGTTGGTCTTTCGTTAATGGTTGTTGGAAAACTGTATTGAGAACTTTAAATATGTCATTCCAGAATGAGCAGAGTTTTGGGCATGACCAGAATATATGTGAATGGGTTCCTAAATAAGTACCACAATTTCGCCAGCAGGTGTCAGGATTTGTAGGCTTCATTTTGGCCATTATCTCTGGGGTTCTAAAATATCGCGTGACCACCTTCCATTTAAATTCTCTCCACAGCCCAGAATTAGTCACAAGATGGGCTTCGCTGAACACCTCTTCCCAGGTGTCGTCTGAGATTTGAGTGCCAGTCTCAGCTTCCCGCCTTGCCTTGCCTTAATATCCAAAGTTGCATTTGGAAATAATAATAATAATAATAACCCCAGAAATAATATTTCAGATTTGGAACAGCCAATCCCCCCTGCAGTTTTGACAGTTTTAATGTTTGGAACTTGATCCTTGGGCGTTTACCTTGCCATATAAATTTGGAAAAAAGTTTATCTAAATTATCAAATGTAGAGTTGGGAATGTCAATAGGCAGCATTTGGAAAAGGTATAGAAGTCTTGGCAATACATTCATACGTATACTCTCAATCCGACCCAAGAAAGACAGAGGCAGGACTGTCCATCTCTCTAAATCTTTTTTTATTTTTGCAACTATAACTTCATAATTTACTTTAAACAAGTCTGATAATGAGTGAGGAATCTGAATTCTTAAATACTTGATCCCTTCGTTTGGCCATTTAAAGCCACATCGCCCCTTGAATGTTTGTGAAATGTTTCCTCCTATATCCATTGCCAATGTTTTGTCAATATTAACTTTGTAACTAGAGAGGTAACCGTATGTACTAATAATTTCTTTTAAATGAGGTACACTGACTGCAGGATTTGAAATGTATAAAAGTACATCGTCTGCATAGATGGACAATTTATGCTGTTCTCCATTAATTGAAAGGCCCTGAATTTCATGTTCATCTCTAATCAACTGCGCCAGAGGCTCAATACTTACAGTGGGGCAAAAAAGTATTTAGTCAGCCACCGATTGTGCAAGTTCCCCCACCTAAAATGATGACAGAGGTCAGTAATTTGCACCAGAGGTACACTTCAACTGTGAGAGACAGAATGTGAAAAAAAAATCCATGAATCCACATGGTAGGATTTGTAAAGAATTTATTCGTAAATCAGGGTGGAAAATAAGTATTTGGTCAATAACAAAAATACAACTCAATACTTTGTAACATAACCTTTGTTGGCAATAACAGAGGTCAAACGTTTACTATAGGTCTTTACCAGGTTTGCACACACAGTAGCTGGTATTTTGGCCCATTCCTCCATGCAGATCTTCTCGAGAGCAGTGATGTTTTGGGGCTGTCGCCGAGCAACACGGACTTTCAACTCCCGCCACAGATTTTCTATGGGGTTGAGGTCTGGAGACTGGCTAGGCCACTCCAGGACTTTCAAATGCTTCTTACGGAGCCACTCCTTTGTTGCCCGGGCGGTGTGTTTTGGATCATTGTCATGTTGGAAGACCCAGCCTCGTTTCATCTTCAAAGTTCTCACTGATGGAAGGAGGTTTTGGCTCAAAATCTCATGATACATGGCCCCATTCATTCTGTCCTTAACACGGATCAGTCGTCCTGTCCCCTTGGCAGAAAAACAGCCCCATAGCATGATGTTTCCACCCCCATGCTTCACAGTAGGTATGGTGTTCTTGGGATGCAACTCAGTATTCTTCTTCCTCCAAACACGACGAGTTGAGTTTATACCAAAAAGTTCTACTTTGGTTTCATCTGACCACATGACATTCTCCCAATCCTCTGCTGTATCATCCATGTGCTCTCTGGCAAACTTCAGACGGGCCTGGACATGCACTGGCTTCAGCAGCGGAACACGTCTGGCACTGCGGGATTTGATTCCCTGCCGTTGTAGTGTGTTACTGATGGTGACCTTTGTTACTTTGGTCCCAGCTCTCTGCAGGTCATTCACCAGGTCCCCCCGTGTGGTTCTGGGATCTTTGCTCACCGTTCTCATGATCATTTTGACCCCACGGGATGAGATCTTGACCCTCTTGCATATCCCTTTCCCGTAAGAGAAGCACATGCATGTCCATTTTTCGTGAGCTGTTGAGATTTTATTCAAGTGCGGCTCTGATGATTAGCTATGTTCTTTCCATTTATTTCTTATCATGTATAGTATGCTTCCATGATCTTCAGTGGTCTGCTATGTATAATTTTTACTAAACACACACTAGTATCTTGAACATTGTCTCATAATATAGTTCCTAAATGAGTAAGTTCATACACATATATGTCCGCTCTGAGAGATACTAGGTGAGAAACTATTTCCCTTTTAAGGCTATTACGCTTCTTATCAATAACGGTTATACATTGATTGTTTCTCTTCGACTATAGAACTCTTTTGCTGTCTTAGGGGCCTATATGGCTCATAGTATATTGTATGAGGAGAAGGTCATGCACCTAATAATGTTGAGGCTGCTGTGAGTTATATGTTGTGTGTAGCTTTAATATAATAAGTCATGTTAAATTCCCGATGAATATACACAAGACCACCAATTGGCTGTGGAACACAGGGTCCATATTCTATCACCGCAATCAGTCACACAACAAAGTGGGTTGTGTGTATGAGGCAGACTGATTTGTGTGTCTAATCTGTGTTAAAGTATAGAAGGAGGATCTGTCGTGCCAACCAACGCAGGAGTGAACCTCCAGACAGTCGTGTCGTGGTTCACATATATTTACTAGTACATCAGAGTCCAGAGATATTTCCTATGTCGTTTGTGGATAACGTTTATAGACCTAGTATATGTTAAATGGAGTCTCACTCCATTCCCTAACAACACCTGAAATTTCACGAGAATAGTTATAATTCGGATATGTCAAAACCCAAATATACTCGTAACTTCATGAGATATATACATGGGAACTCCTATTATCTCTAATATTGTTTTCCAAATGTTGCCCCAGTACACACTCTGTCTCTCACAGTGAGGTATATGAGGCCTGCTGAGAATTGTAAGTAATTATTTGAAGCGCATTCCAAATTACTGATCTCCATCTAACTTCTCATTCAATAAAGATTAAAGCTCAAAGATATACATATTGGCACCATGAGTCGGTGGCTGACTATAATACTATTTTTGCCCCACTATTAGCTCAATGGGTGTAACATATTAATGGTACTATGACAATAAACAGCCCAGGGAGGGATCGAGACAACCGGCAAGCTTACAAAGATCCGGGAAGCAATATCCTATGTGTCAATACAACAAATCACTAAAATAATGGCTTTCTGCCTCCAAGTTGAGGAGGAACAACATCTCTGAGGCGTCGAAAGTAAGAATTACTCACAGATCATTACCTCAAGTCCAGACGAAGCCAACACAGATAGTAGGGTTTGGAATATAAGACACAAATCGCTATATCCTAGATTAGAGCAGGTGGTAAGTTTGGCGAACCGAGAATATCCTTGAGACAGAGTCTTTTACTTAACAGTGTATGGCCCATAGTTACTGACTGCTCTCAGGTGATAAACCTCTAAGTTCGAATGCATTTTTGATGACTGGCCCCAAAATTCACAGAAAGGAATATTCACTATGAATATCAAAATAATTATGAAATAGTGTTACTTAAGGATACTTTGTAAGGCTTATAAACCTAGAAGAATGAATATTATATAGTTAGTAAAATATATACAAGAACGAAATCACCATGTGAACAAAGATGGGCCGCTTCCTGTCGACATCTGACCTGTGACACTCCCGTTGGCTTTGATCACTCGATAGTGGTCACCATAACTCATAGTTCCTATAATTAAAAATAGATTTATATTAAAATGTTTTATTTAACTTCTTTTCTTTCGAGCTTCACAAATTGTTTTGCCGTATATAATTTTGTATTGAAATTGCGAGACAATCTAATTACACTCTCCTGTATATGACCGTTTATGTTTATAAGTAGATGACGCACCTCATCATCGCTGCCTATAGTGTGTATTGTACACAAATGTATACTCTGGTCGCGAGTGTATGCTCGCTTCGCCTCACATATGTTTTATGCTGATTAACTGGCAACCAATCTATAGCATCATATGGTCTCAAGAACTACAAGGATGTGCTCGCGAAGTGCGATGTCATCTCTTGAGTACTGACGCACTGATGTCCCCGCCAGCTTACCGAAGTAGTATGCCGGAAGGCTTCTGCTAACAAGGTCCATCAGGAACTGGCTGAGTCACGGCCTTCTCACCAGTTCTATTCCAAAGTCTGAATCCAATGTGCTGCTAACGCTCCCTCTCATCCATATGTATTTTATAGAGTAGTTATTACCTGACTACTAGTTTAAAACACACATCCTACAAGCTCGACAAGATCTTTTATATGACGAGTTTGTTAAGTGTGTCTGAAGGATCCACCTGTAGTCAAAAATTTGGCCCTCTCCTGTGCCCTACAGTCCTGATTTGGTTGTCTAATACTCTATTTCTCTAGTGTCAGCATGTCTATCGATAAAATTAGCAATCTGCGGCAGTGTTTTAAAATTATTGTGCCATCTTTTATAATTCCTGAAATAGTGGTAAACTCTAAGAGCAACTTGACCGTGGTGATTTTTGAGTACTACAATCCTTAACTCTATGTATCATGCGCAAATAGTCTAGTTATATAATGACTTTCGAAACAACCAATTTGATTTTAGGCAACTAGCATATAACTCATTTGTGTGCGTAGTTTGTGTAGTTGTCAGGGTTTTAGGTATATAGGGTTTTATCTGTGAACTTACTAAAATACTATTATATGAGTAATACCATGTATAACTAAATGTTTGACTGGTTTCTACTATGAAGTCTTTTAATTAGCACATAGCAAATATCTTACTTTAGGGGGTAGGGTAGGGCCCCCCTGGCTATTTAATCCCCTAGTGATTTTCCCATAGTACTTTTTGTGTATTAATTGAAATCTTAATAATATGCCCTCAATTTTCTCGTTTATAATATAAACTTATATCAGACTCTTATATCTTTAACCGTATGATCATACTTGAGCCATTGGGACCAACCCGTAAATTTGGTTGCTGAGTCATGTCGTCCACTCATTTACTATGTGTGTTAATAGGTCCTCACTGCTTATGTCTATATTTGTTGGCCCTTGCCCTTTGTGTACAAGGTTCCACCAACAGTGCTCAGCCTGTGACCTAGCCTCCTTTTGCTGTTTTGGCCACCATTTACATGTGATTCCACTTGTGCATAAATAATCCCGAGAGAATCAGTATGCCAAAATTGATAAGCTAATTGTATATGACACATTTTGAGACAGCAAACCCCAAATCACCAGCAGTATAGAGTTATATAATAATAAGACTAAAAATAAAATGAGGTGAATCTCCGGAGTAGTGAGCCTTCGAAATCAACTCTCCAGAGTGCATAAGTGTGAGAATTATATAGAATATTTAGGATCATAACGTTATGTTATTATTTGGAGTACTTCAGCAAGTGAAAAACTGGACTTATTCAATATTAAGGGGCGAGTGAGTGGGGCCATTTAATCGCCAATGATTTTACTAGTTTTGGGTGATCGAGACTCTCCATATAGGTCCTTAATAGTGACAAAGAGTGATATGGACGATAGTCTCTTTTTGGTCGGTATGCCTGAAATTACTCCAGATCAGTGTAAGTATTAAGAGTAAGTAATGTTGAACAACTTATTTTCGAATTTACTTTTATTGTCCCTTCATCGCCCCAATGTATATAGGATAGAAGACTTAAAATATCAAGGGATAAAAGTCTTATCCTGGTTGAGTCACCGGAAATGGTGCACTGTCATACTGACACAGAGAGTAAAGAAAAGATACCACCCTCAAATAGCTCTACTTGTGCCCACTCGGACACGAGGACAAACCTATTTCTCCAGCATACTTAATCTCTCACACTATAAAAGAAATGAGATTGATCCACCAGTTGCGAGTTGTTAATCCATGATAGGTAATACTAAGATCTGCATTCCAATGTTGCGAAGTTAGACAGTGCGAGACTGTATTATAGCTCTCGTTGTGTTATCCATATAGTTCATTATAGTTCCCCAGAGCCCACTGGTGTTTGAGGCTGTACAAGAGTATACGAGCAAATGAAACAAACTATATCGCCCCCTGATTTCATCAACATACGTCTCTAGAAGAATATAACACTCACTCAACACAGAAGTGATGAGCCACCTGGATATAAAGTGGTGGTGAGGTTATCAATGTGCTTGTGGATAAAGGTAGTATAGTTCATTAAAACTAAACTTAATAATGAGTTAACAATACGATTATCATATAGAAGTATGTAATTAGTTCAAAAACTAAACTAAAAGTTAAACATTCATTGAGTGTTTAACTTCAAACTTAATAGTGAGTTCTTACATATGTTTGTGAGATGGTTTAACATGAAATTGAATTAAGTGAGCCAAGGCTGAATTATCTTTTCCCAAACTTTTCAGTAAGGTATTGAGACCTGAAAAACTGGTGGCTCATGTGTTTGAGGTGGATGAAGATGTGGAAAAAGATGAGGTAAGATGACTAATTCCAGACTCGTCTTCAGCTGCTTGTTCCCATAGTTTCTTTGTGATCCGCTTCTGCTCCTGTAAGATACAGAGCTTATAAGTGTGACTTTGCATTCTTCCTTTAGGACTGACCAAACGCTCTTCAAAGAAACTCAAATACAAGGAAGTGTAACAGAGCGCACTTAGCTTTTAATTTATTACTAAACATTGTATTTGTTTAGTTTCAGTACTCTTTTACAAGCTAAATGTGTTTACTGCTCTAGATCCACACTGTTTGTAGCATTTAAAGGCACATCTCTTCCCAATAATTATGACACTTTAACAACGATTTCAACTTTGGACCTTAATAGGCGCACAACAGCACTGTTTATCTTAATGTGTGTACAGGTTCTTACTATACTGGTGGGGACCAACAGCCCTTGTGGGGACTAAAATTCAGGTCCCCACGGGGGTTGAAGGCATCAGTCCCAAAACAAAACATCCACAAAAACACTGGAGCACAGGGAGAAGTTCATAAACAGTTCAGGAGGCCGACCCGGAGGACGAGCAGTTCAGGGGGCTGACCGGGAGGCCAGCAGCACAGAGGTACAAAGCAGTTCAGTTCAGGAGGCTGACCGTGCGAAAAGCAGTGGCGGCAACACAGGCAAAGGAAATCCGGAGGCTGACTGCGCGGAAGGCAGCAGCACAAGGTGCTGAAGCAATTTCTCTGACCCTTCAGCGATGGCGGACGGCTGAAGCGGCTCCTCGGGCCCTCTAGCGATGACGGACGGCCGAACGGGCCCCTCGGACCCTCCTGCGGAGGTAGACTGCTGAACGGGTGCCTCGGACCCTCAGCGGTGGCCAACACAGAACCAACAGGTGCAGAGACTGATCAGAACCAGCAGGCACAGCTGCTGAGCAGGTGACACTGGAGACTGAGCTAGTGGCTGCTGCTGAGCCGGGCAGAACATCCTCCGGTGGGCCGGGCAGCGAAGCAGTTGTGGCTGGGTGAAGGTGTAGCGTATTGATGATGAAATTCCGTACGAGCGGGTGAAGCGCATCCAGTAGTCAGGGGAGCCTGGAAATGAATCGCTGTAGCCTTGTTTCCACAGCGTGATGAAACTCCTTTCCCTCATGATTGAGCCACAGTTGAAAGAGTTTCTCCACGGAGTAAATAATGTCACGGCAAAGGTCTTCTGGTTGAATGCCGCTGGGTCCATGTTGGCTGGTTCGTGCTGTCACGGCTAGCAGGGCAAGCCGTGTGAGTTTTAATAGAGGACCCAAGATGCAGGCAGCTTCAGATGCAAGTGAGCTTTATTAATAAGGATGGACACACAAACCAGAATGTAGCAGGCACAAAACAAAACCTAAGAGCACTTAAACTAGGAAAACTAACCTGAACCCAGAACAAAGACACCTGGAGACTCGAGGAAGCAACACAGACAAACCAGCAACAGGCAGCAGAACACACAGGGCTTAAATACTCTCAGGAGTTATCATGGGATAGGAGACAGGAGGGGAACACACCTGGGAGAAATCGCGGCTGACGAGACACAGACGTAAAGCTGAGAACACTCACATGAGACAGAGACCTTCAGAATAAAACAGGAAACTCACAGACACAGAACCAGACAAGACACTGAACTTAACAGACAGATTCACGAGCAGACACTGTGACACCATGGACAGACAGAGGGAACACAGAGAAGTGGGAGCAGGTAGGCACAGAACAGAAACCTAGCAAATGGCAAACCTTAACAAAAGACATAACCAGAATAAACAAGAACATAGAATAATATAAGGAAACACAAAACACTGAGTCATCAGACTCAGGACCATGACAAAATGTGGTTTTAGTGTCAGGGTTACAATTGGGTTATGGTTAGGATTAGGGTAAGGGTTAGAGTTAGGCATACATTTTTGATGGTTATGTCAATGAGATATCCCCACAAGGATAGCAACACCAGACAAATTTTTTATTTTCCCCTTAATCTCCTCCTCCAGGACACAGCCTCTCTGAGATCTCAGAAAGGAGGAGTGTCTAAGCATGGCTGGCTTTTTAAAGGCAACGTCAACGGTGCAATCACTGTTACAATGCGGGTGAGTACAGCAGACTGAAAATGACAGAAATTTACATTTTCTTTCTTTATATATACAGTCCGGATTAGAAGTTTAAGACCACTTGAAAAATGACAAAAATTAATATTTTGAATGGTTGGATATAGTAGAGCTTCAACGTGGAACAAGAAGAAATGGAAGTGAGACAAAACATTTTTTGAGCATGCAATTTATTGAAAACCAGGTTGAGGTGGGACGCAGTAAAACGGTCATTTGGAATTTCTTAAATGATTCTGAGGGTTAAGGAACAAAAACGTCAAGTGGAAGATCAAAAAACATTTTGTCGTAAGATCCAGCCATGATGTTTTTGTATGTAAAAAAAATCACATTTTATATATATCCAAGCACTTTAAATTGTAAGGAAGACCCTACAAAATACAAATATAACAGAGAAAACCCCAACAATCATATGAGCCCCTCTGAGAAAGTGCTTTGGCGACAGTGGGAAGCAAAAACTCCCTTTTAACAGGAAGAAACGTCCAGCAGGCTCAGCAAGGGACAGCTATCTGCAGCGACCAGTTGGGGTCCGGGGGGGCAAGACAGGACAAAGACATGTTGTGGAAGAGAGCCAGAGATGAATAATAAGTGATGATCCAATACAGAGAGGTGTATAGTCACGCAGTGCGTGAGAAAAGCGACTGAAGAAAAAAATACTCAGTGCATAATGACGGTTCAGTAACCCTACCGAACTACTTTTCCCTGCATCCTTTTTTTCCCTGTGAACATATGGAACTCAGATTAGTCTTTGTGTACGATAGCTCAAAACTTTGCTTACTTTTTCAGTTTACCCACAAGCTTTCCCATGCTCTCTCTCCGTTCTTTAGTATTTTTTTTAGAGAAAATTAGTCCATTGGGAATGTTAACATTCTTTATTGTCATCATAGTCCTTCAAGAGGAGGTACTTCCATCTGGCTCAGCTGGGGGATGGGTCTTACAACCTCAACTTCTACAAGGATGAGAACACCTCCAAAGATCCCAAAGGAACCATCTTCCTTGACTCATGCATGGGAGTTGTTCAGGTAATGGTGAGCTGTGGTGGTGGTAGTGATGGTGGTTAAACTGAATGCAGCAAAAGGAAAGTTAGCATTCTGTTAGCTGTCCACTGGAAACAAAAAGATTAAAACCACTTTTACAGAAGCTGTGTTTGTGTTTCTTCTCTTTTAGAACAGTAAAGTGCGTCGATTTGCCTTTGAGTTGAAGATGCAGGACAAGAGCACATTTCTGCTGGCTGCAGACAGTGAAGCAGAGATGGAGGAGTGGATCACTACCCTCAACAAGATTCTCCACAGCAGCTTTGAACAGGCCATGCAGGAGAAAAAAAATGGCGATCTGAATGATGTATGTACTAGGAATAGCCACAACTCTCTCTCTCACTCTCTCCTT